GGGCCGCCGGGGACCGCCAACGCTAGAAAAAAAAAAAAGTGCGGGCCCCATATGTCTCTACGACAAAAAGTTGCAAATTATGTGCTCCAGTGAGACCCGAGCTTGCCACAACCATCCACCCACTCATCCCAGTCCATTGCCTGAGGTCAAGCAATCAAAACCAAGTGACACTCGAATTTGCAAAGATAGCCGGTGCTATTTCATAGAACTCTACATATTCTTAGGTCTTATACTTGAGCTGCCATTGATTCTGGGTGCGCAACCCTAGTCTTCAGTGTGGCCGGCGATGCACATGCGATCAAACTGCATGCTATGCATAAGACCCAGCATCAGATGTCAGATGCAGCACATCTGCCTACATTCATCATATTCGAACAATCCACGGCAAACGTTGGGATCCAAGCAATCATCATTTTCACGACACTCATCACCTTCACTAGCTGTTAGTTGGCTTATACCGTCACAATTGCACGGGAGCATTCTTGTTATCGGTCTTATGATTCAGTCCACACTCTTGGATGGTCTCGATCATGCGCAACAGAAATACGCGACACATTCTTACTAACGACGGTGCCACCAATCCGATCCTCAAACATGCTACCATTATTGACGCCATTCGTGTCAGCGTGGGTGCAGCTAACATGAACGAACAGACAACCACAACAAGCCGGCAGGAGCAACTCGGATGCTTGCCACTTCGCACGTTGCCAGGAGAGCGTTGCATGACGAGATGCCCGCAACTCGGCAGTCCTGGCAATGCACCCGGGATCCACACACTGAGCGATCAAATGACAGCTTCGGCGCGGTAAGCCTTCCAGAAGCCGAGGGCTTGCGAGCAGTCGCCCAATTTCAGGCACTTCAAGTGCACCAGGTTGTAGAACTGCCAAGCTCTCTCAAAGAAACATGCAACATCCTCAAATCAGCAACACGGGCTGAGCTTGTTCCTTTTTTCACATGCACTTGCAGCCAACCCTGTTTTGCCGATGCTCTTTGGCCCGGCTACTTTGCAGGGTGCCGGCTTGACGGCTCATGAGTGGAGGACTCTGTAATCGAGAAACCTGGCATGCCACACACCTAGGATGAGAACAAACTTATCTTAGAGACCAGAAGCACACAGCACCCTCACCTGGATTCGGAGGCCCCACGACGTGCCACCTGGCGGTTTCCGCCTCGGCAAATCCCACGATAAAGTGCTGCTCCAACCGTTCCAACAATCTCTCTCTCTCTCTATATATATATATATACATTTATTTATTTATATGTATCCACATACACACGTACATGTACAAATACATATAACTGTCCGTCTACATCTACATGTTCATATGCACAAATATTTATAAGCATATACATATGAGGTACGAGGACGTATCAGCTCACTTCAATGGATCAGGAGGGTCTGGGGATCAGGTCGGGACATACATATATACATATACATATAATATGCACAAAAATATACATATACGTATACATCTACTACGCTTAAAAAGTTCGTCACACGACCTGTATCTTAACATGTCAGGCTTTTCCCCTGCAGACTCCTGACACAAGGCCCTGCAACGCGTCTCCGCCGGAACACGATATACTAGTGTAGCTATACTCCGGGAAATGACAACTCCGCCCTGCTGGCCACGTGCAGAAGACGTTCGTCCTCTCCGCTTCTCCGCAGCATATGCGCATGTTCAACAAGGGGCTATGTCGAAACTTTCGTGCCGGCGATGCATGATTTCATTCATTCATCATATATATATATATACATACATACATACATACATACATACACATATAGATATATATATATATATATATATATATATATATGTATATACATAGAAATATATATATATATATATATACTTGTCTATCTATATAATGTATATATATATATATGTAGGTATTTATGTCAACCTACCTTTAAAAGCCAGGGCAGCGACGGTTCATGTCTTGAGCGGGCTTTGCCTTCGCCACTCGTGGGCGACCCGGCGGGCGCGGCGGTCTTTCGCCCTGGCCAGGCTCACATGGCCCTAGGGTTTAGGGTTTAGGGTTTAGGGTTTAGGGTTCAGGGTTTAGTCGGGTTTCGGGTTCAGGGTTTAGGGCTTCAGGG